AAGTATCATATACGCCCCCAAAATTATCTCGAGCTTATAATGAAAATCCTTGAGCCCCATTGTTCATTGTCAATTTATGATATTTTCCAAATGATTTTTGCTGTTTGACTCATAAAATAAAATTTTCTTTCCAATGAGGCTTAATATTGATCTCCATCTATTGTCTGTTAGGTCAATCTTGGAGCCACAACTGTATCACTGTAGGCAAAACTACTCTTTTATAATTACTCTTAATAGCTTACAAATTTATATATTTATTAGGTTCCTCAAACCCTATCTTTAAGTCATACTTTTTCTGGTCTGCTACTTCGTATTAAAAGGATGGCCTACTCGTGGTATAATCATAGAATACATAAAAGTAATACACACACATCGCCTTGCATTTTGGGTTTGGTCCCAAACGTTACATTCTTGTTGTACTTGAGTTCTTATTCACATTATGTCCTAAATAGGCATAAAATTTGTTGAAGAACAATTAATGCATAAATTCATATACGGAAAATTATGTCTATCAAATTGCTTCCTAATACCAAAGTTCCATCAATGGGGAAAAAGAGAAACTGATGATCATCCTCGCAAATGGATTCACCATACTAAATTCGATAAAATCTAGTAAAGCAATATAAAATTGGGGAATTTTCAAAAATGTCACAAAATTAACAAGTTCCCCAAAAGTTGTCATTTTCAATTTATGTGAGCAAAAGTATCACTTTTTTGTGTGAAATGTCCAAATTACCTTTAATGACACATTTTCATTAGCATTTAATGCTTGATTTGAAAGAATTGATTATATTGATGTGATGATTTATTTTATATATAAAAAATATAGATAAATGTGTATTATATTAATTAATATGAATTTGTGTTAATAAAAAAGGGTAAAAGAAATTTAAAATGAAACATAAACAAATATATCTTCTTCTTCCCTTACAAACCCTAATTTTTCTCATCTTCTTCATTTCATTTATCAAGAAGATTTTTCTCTTGCATTCATAATCCATTTTGAGAGGTTAGTTATTAGAAAATATTTACATTTTACTTCTACAGTTTACTGTTTTGTAAATATTAAATACAACCTGAACATATTTACTTAAAATTTTTGAAACTATTATTCATTGATTTTTTTTTTTAAAAAATCCTTCACAAATGTGATTATCACTATTAAGGTTTTGAATACTTTCTTCCATTCAAACCAAATAATGTTTTCATTAAATGTCTCTTCAATAACAAGGCCAATATGACCTTTTTCATCTAGCTCAATACTAATTATCACACTTAATGTGTTGTGCTGAAGAATATGTTCTACCCACTGTCATCTGCTTCTCGACATTTTCGACGGTTCAACTGTCGAATTTGACATTTACAAACCGTCGGGTTAGACGTTTGAAATGTCGAACCCGACATTTACAAATTGTCGGGATATATAGTTTTACTGCCAAATTGAACACTTAAAAACGATGGAAAGCCTTGATTTGATCTTTTACTATTGTACGGATTTACGTATTATGTAGTGCCACTTTTATGCTATTAAATGCCAACATATTGATTCTATAGAATTCTTATCGTTGCAATCCCAACATTTGAGGTATGAATAATCATTTGAGTTTCATCATGTCGCATGGGGAAAGTTTGTTCATGCGGATGACGAATAGAAGTGAAGAGGGGACAAAACCACTTACATTCTGGTTCCGACAAGTAATATCGTAACCGGACTTTTGTTAATATTGAAGGACAAACTTGATATTCTTGATCCTGGTACTCAAATTGAATTGAAGTTCAAGGTCGTTAACTTGAATATACCTCCGACCGAAATACGCGACGATGAAGACTTATTTTCATCACATCTCAAATTGAATTTAAAAGACAATTAGTGTGATGCTTTTAAAATCTAAGTGCGCTTGTATCACTCACACTTGGTCTATCATTTATGAAAATTGTGTACATTAAATCATGTGTACCATTTCATCTTGATTGAAACATGGTACGCACAATATTTTAATGCAAACAAAGAACTGCTCATTATGTTTTGCAAGAAAACGATGTCCAGTGATATTACCATGATTCACGAATGTTTTCGATTGAAACAAATCATAATATTCAATTCAATCATGTTTATTTTTAATTGAATACTAGTTTTAATCGATAAATCAAATGAGTTTCGAAAGCAAGAAAGTTATAAAATGCACCAAAAATCATTTTTATGTACACAACCTTGCTCAAGTATCGAACATGATTTAACCATTGTTTTGTACTGTGGAGTAGCTTCATGACCCTATTTAAAAAACAATCTACTATTCTTTACTATTTACTATTCATTACTATAAACATTTTCTGTACGAAACAAAAACAGTTTCCTCTGCCAACATCACATAAATAAAACCAACTAATGCAAAATTATATACATAAATAGAAAACAAAATGTTTTTCCATGCAGTTGCCACAGTCATCAAAAGTAGACCGTTGTGAAGGTTGCTCTTTCTTTGACAACGAAATCGATTGGTTCCATCTCCAATTATAGCAAGAATGTGTGCACCAACACTTTGACGATTATTCAAGTCATGAGTATGAGTCTGCTCATATGTCATCATACATTGGTGAAATTAGTATTCCGAGATAAAGCACGTAGAAAACAATGTGAAGAAATGTAATAACGTTCACCTTATGTGTAAAAACAATCTGATCACAGTACATAATATAACTCAATTGATTCATGCAATCTATCATAATCTGAATTCAAACAAGCAACTTCCACAAAAATAGATTTGAATTGTATGTGATCCAAAAATTATGAAGAATGAATCGTGACGGTGGTGGTAATGTTATACAAATAAAAACGTGAAACACAAAAATATAACCACATATGGAAATCAGTCACATGTGAGACGTTTGGATGGAAAAAATCTAACCAAATAAGGACAAATCAATCAAAAAAATCATGAGATCATAGCATTTCATATATGTTTATGTAAAACACTCGTGCAATGTTAGAATGAACCAAAGTTTGACTTGTGGAACTGAGCGGAGGGAAGGACTGAACTGTCGTTCTCGATAGTTCATCTGTCGACTGTTTCATCTATCGAGAATTACCGAGGCTAACTGTCGAAACCGACAGTTAGGCGCGATGGCATTTCTCTACATTAGTGAACTGTCGATAGATGAACTATCGGAAAATCTACTTTTCACCTCTAAGCAAATAGGTATTATTGAAACTTATTTCACTCCATATTCGAGCATAACAAAATATTAAAATCACAGGTATGCTGTCAACTGTCTAGCAAGAGTTCAACCTAAATACGGGTACCTCCCACAACAAATGGATTCCAAGTAATAGTAATGTTATTTCCACATCACACAAGTACCAAAAATATTGAAACATTCAAAATACTTGAAATTTGGACTTTGAAAGCAAAGGAAGAGGACAAATATTAAATTCGAACCCTAAATAATTTTTTCCCTCAACATTAGTGTTGGTACGTGTTACGTGTGCATATATGCATCACTAATAGAAGATGTATAAAAAAAGAGAAAATTAAAATTTATGGCATGAAATTGCAGAAAGTTGGGGAAAAACATTTCTAATCATAATGTTCGCGAAATATTTCTTTCGATTTAAATTACCGCAAGTGTACGGGTCGTAACAAGTAATAAAGTGGACTTTAGAAGTCCGAGTATCGTCCCACAGAGAAAGAGTAGTTCAATTTTACTTATTTTAGCCTTAACCGAAACTAATTAAGTTAAAATGAATTTTGGAATCAAAAGCCCTAATTTTGGGAGAAATCCCCAAATTGAAAAATCCTAATTTCAAATCAAACCCTAATTTGGGGGAAATCCCCAAATTGAAAAACCCTAATTTCAAATCAACCCTAATTACTTAAATTCACTTAACGAATGACTCAATTACGAAATGTTATAAAAATAAATGAAATGTATTGTCAATTTATGAAAATTTATGTAAAACAAATGCACTAGGATTACAAATCCCCACGTAATTACTAATTAAACCCTAATTTCACAATTTTGATAATTCAATAAGAATTTGACAAATCAATGCTCATCAATCTATTCAATACTCTCTCTCGAGATGTATTGAACCTATTCTCATAAATCATCAGCCTATATCTCTATGACGGATGCAATTATACAAGAACGCATATAATCTTTTTATGAGCAATTAAAGATTTACATAGGGCATAGGGGTATATTTCTATCCCCTATCGAACCCTATGATGAATTATATATGTCGAGTTTAATCTAATTTTCTCAAATTCAGAATTAAACCACCAAGTTTACACAAATTAAGTGCACATTAATTGTGGAAATAAACAAAGCAATATAATCCATTCAAATATCCCATTGCACTAATAATCCAAAATCATGAAATAACAAGTTCAATAATAATTACATGGTTCATCGATCACCTAATTGCAGAAATCTAGCCTATCATGATAAAAATAACGAAATTTAACAAAGTATGAATAAAATACATCACTGGGTTATCAAAACTTGAAGAAATCTTGTAAATCTCGAATCAATTCTTATTCTTGCCTTCAAATCCACTCAAAGATGAATGTTTTTGCCTCCCAATTCGTTCGTGCGGCTTCTGGATGTTTTGTTGCTATTTAAACCCGTCCAAATTAGGTTACCAAAGGAGTTGCAATCATATAAGGAAACTGCAAAAATTGGGGGAAAATTATACCTATGCGACCGCATAGGCATAAGAAAAATGGCGTTTTTAATCCCTGGAGGTTCACTAGCGACCGCATAGGTTTTATACTAAGCGACCGAATAGTAGAGCTAACTTCTAGTTTGAGTCATTTTGGCCCTCAAGTTTCATTCCTTCACTCCTTGACCTCCTCTCTTGTTCCTAGTTGCTCCAATGTTCCCTTATAACTTCCAATTGGTGCTTGGCTTGATCAATTGCTTGATGTGTTCATCGGATCAACTTTCAGATAATTGCAATTTGGTCCCTGAATTTTCATTTTGCTCCAATTTGGTCCTTTTTCAGCTCTTTTCTCCTGAATTCCACTATTTCCATATAATTTCCTACATTGCATGAATTTGACAAAGTTAAGTAACAATCCAATCATTTTACTTGTATTTAAGTCATGTTTGTGATGTAAATAAGTGTGCAAAAACACACTTATCACATAACACAACCAAAAATTATTCAAAATGTCCAAAACAATTACTGAATATCAAAAGGATTTTTACCTCTTTCTAATCCAAGCCCCAGCTCTTATTTTAAACCGAGCAAAAAGCTCCATTTTTCGCATCTCATAAACCCCTTACAGATGAAAATATCACAAAAACTGAGTAAAAAAAACAAGATTTTCCTCTCTTGGATTGAAACCCGTAATGAGAGAGAGAGAGTAAGTGAGTGAGTGAGAGAGTTAAGAGTTGTTTGAATGAGAGAAATAAAATTCATCTATTTTTTTTCCAACTTTTCATCTATGACATTGACAAGATTTTTGTACAATTTCTTCCATTGGGTCAAATCTCATTTGATTAGGACATGTATGGAATTTGAAATTATTTTCAAGGACAAATATGTCTTAAATTGACATTCTTGCAATGTTTTAAAAAAAGTGACATTTTTGTAAATATCCTGAGAAAAATTGACATCCTGTGCAATTTCCTCCATATCTATAAAATTTAATATGATGAAATAGATTAAGAACTAGAAATCCCTGGACCTAAGAAATAATACAAGCAAAATAGCATTTTACTAAACACTAAGAAATAATTAAAAGCACAATAGTGTTTAAAAATGAATTTAACATACTGGACATACAGAGTATTAAAAATTAACAATTTGAAGAGAGAGAAGAGAGAGAGAGCTACCCCAAGAGTCAATACTGGAGAAGTTTAATTTTGCTCAAACTCCATCAAAAAGTCAAATAATGTCTTTTACCTCGAACATTTGACTAATCAATATCCACGTTCCACTAACAACAGTCAAAGAAAAATAAATTAATTTTGCATTAGATATCTCAGTGAAATCTACAAAATAACTTTAATGTACTTCGATATAGATACTAGGTTAAGGCACAATTGATTGGTAAATAGAGAACCTTATCAAATTTAAATTGCAATAATAATTACAACAAAGTGAAAATACTCGCTATTTACAAATCCTTAGGAGATCCTTAATCTGAAAATAATAATAAGTACTTACAAATAGAAATAGTGATTAATATAATTGTTGGGTGTACGTTCATTGAATTTATGTAGAAATATCTGATTTTAGTGCATATTTACAACATACAGAGTAAATTATTATAGCGTATAATAAAAAGAAATAATGAAACTTAAGTGGTCGAGCTCAAATACTTACCCCAACTATATCAGCATATCAGGACTTTTTAACCATGTAGGCCCGCTCTGATTAACAAATCCATAACACTGCTTAGGCATTATTAATTTATATTTACAACATACAGTAAATCATTATATTTTATAATAAAAACAAATAATGAAAACTTAAGTGGTTTTGCTCAATTACTTACCAACTATATCAGCATATCAGGTCTCTTTAAACCCATGTGCCCTCTCCAAATATCCTAGGAAGATATGAAACCTTTGACCACTTAGAATCAGGGCCTTTTTTTTCGCAGAACCCCTCCTCCAACAATGGACAGTCTTTAACAATTAACTGTCCAAGCTTGGTGAGGCGTTGCATCGCTTCCTCACAGGGCATATGCCTAAGCTTTTTTAAGTCATGTAGGATTAATTCTGAAAGAGATGACAGACCCCCAAACCACTCTGGCAATGCTTCAATTCCAAAACCAGATAATGATAACCGTTGGAGCAAAGTGAAATGCTGAAGCTGATATGGCAATGAATCCCAATGTTCCCAACCATGTAAAGTCAATTCCCGGAGAGATTTGGATTGTTGGATGCCGTCGAGAGCAGCTTGGAATGAGTTGAAATCGATTGATTTTGAGAATCTACCAAAGAGCAACCATCTTACGTTTCTAAGAAGGCCAATTCGCTTGGGCAAAGTACTCAATTCAGGACAATTGTGCATCTCTAAACATGAGATATAAGGCAATTCCCCTAAATCCATTGGGAAAGAAATGAGTTTGTCGCATCCAGTCACCCGTAGATACTTAAGACACCTGGTGGACTCAATCAGTTCTCTTGGTAAGTAGCTCAGCTCAGAGCATTTCCTAATTTCCAAGTGTCGAAGAGAAGGGGGGCCTTTTTGTCCACTTCGATATGAAATTGATTGTAGACTTCGACATATAATTATTCTCAAATACACAAGAGAGTGGAAGCTAAGTAGATCATCAGGTAATTCTCTCAATTTGTCACAATCTTCAATAATCAAATCTTGAAGATAATTCTCACATCCTTTCATGTGGGGAAGACAAGTGAGCTGTGCTATATTCTTGATCGAGAGTCTTATCAAAGAAGTTAGGTCGTTGCTACTCAAAATCTTTGTCGAAGGAAAATCACTATCCATAGTATCAATCTCCAATTTCTTCAAGCAAAGGAAATGACTTGGACAAGTATTCAATTTGTGGCAATTGAAAATCTCCAAAACTTTAAGGCAAGGAAATGCCTGCTCTCTGCTTGTTCGTGTTTCTGCCACTGGCGTTGCCTCAGCTTCCGTCCACTCTGTTAGGTTTGGCATGCTTCTTAGAATGAGTTTTTCTAGCGCTGGGAACATTACTCTTGTCTCTTGGCAGCAGTTGCTAGAACTGACACCATAGAATGAACGACCTATGGATCTTATGTTAGTCAAACCGTCCAAGGTAAGATATTTGAGGAGTGGCAGGTGGCCAAACGACGGAATTTCTTCACAATTTTTGCAATTACTGAAGTTGACCTCGATCAATTTATCAAGTTTCAATGGACCACGGCCATCAAGGAATACTTCCATTCTCATAGTCCATGATGGGAAGTTTGTACCTCTGAACCCTTCAATTTTTATGCTCTTCAAATTCGGGTGAGGTTGGAGGCCTTTAAGGACACTTTCATCGTTGTTGTTGTTGCCTTCCGAGACATTCTCATCATTGTTTGTTGTCCACATAAAACTTAACCCATATATCTTTGGCTTTCCAACCAAATTTGCCTTCTCAGCTTCTTCTATGCCATTCACTAGTTCAAGGTTGAATATATCCAGTTGGCCTGTAAGATTCTTCAAAAATCCCAGCTCTTCAATTCGGCAGCCTTCCTTGTCACCCACTATAAAAAACGGTAATGTTTGTAGAAGAGACAATTTTCTAATTTTAAGCGGCATCTGGAAATCAGATTGATGGAATAATGGATAAAAGTAAAGATGTCTCAAATTACTCAAGTCACATAGCATTTCTGGAAGCCGTCGAATGAAGAAGCATTCTATAATCCTTAAAGTTTGCAAATTGTAGAGCTCGCAAATAGAATCTGGCAAAGTTTCCATATTTCCATTTTGGGATGCATCAAGATATCTCAAATGTATCAACTTTCCAACTGCGGAGGGAAGAACTTCAATCCTTGCGCCACATAACTTTAGAATGTGCAGGTGCGTGAACCATGGCAAAATTTTGTCTGGTAAGCTGCCCCTTCGCAAGAAAAATGTGCGCAGATAACTTGCTTTCTCTTCTGTAATCACTTGTGTTTCCTGTTCGAGCAATTCCATTGCAAGGTATCTGACTTTGGGAATGTCATCAGTATAGCGATCCTCGGTATTAAAGCTTTCTGAATTTGAAACAGAGCATGCCAGATCATGCACAAGATCATGCATCTTGCAATGTCTGATATTTCCATATACATCCTTTCCTGCCTCTTGCAAGAAGGAATTTTGCAAAAGAATTTTAAAAATTGTATTGCCCAAAGTCTCCATATTAATTTCTGGATTATCTGGAAGAAATCCTTCCGCCATCCAGAGTTGGATTAAATCTTCTCTCTCTATTTCTGAATCTTTGGCAAATATTGAACAATAGGCAAAACATTTTTTAAGTAAAGGAGAAGATAAACGATCAAAGCTTATCTTTAAGACTTGCGTTATACTGTCCTCATTCGCTCCGAGATTTGAAAGCCTGGTCTCTAGAACTGAAACCCACTCATCTACTTCCTTTCCTTGCAAAGTTCCGCCGATCATTTTTGCTGCTAATGGTAGACCTCTACATTTGCAAGCAATCTTCTTTCCAACTATTTTTAATTGTTCTGGTATTTCTTCATCTCCAAAAGTCCTTGTTTTGATTATAGACCAGCATTCATCATCTGTTAATAAATTCAAGTTGTATGGATCTCTGTAAGTTTTCACAATTGATGCCACACTTTGAAGACGTGTAGTCACCATGATGACATTTCCTTTATTGGTGTTAACTCCAGCCATAGTACTTTGGAAGTCATCCCAAGCTTGTATTTTGTAATTCCAAACATCGTCAAGAACAAGCATCTTTTGCCTCCCAATTTCTCTTGAAGCTCCTCCACAACAGCTTGCCTGTTGTCTCCATGAGAACTTTGCCTGTTGTCTCCATAAGAACTTTCTTCTAAGGTTTTCAGAATCCTTTTAAAAAGCGTGACCACATCAAAATTTTCAGAAACACATACCCAAATCCTTTTGCCAAAAAGACTCTTTGTGCTCGGATGATTAAAGACCGACCGAGCTAGCGCTGTCTTGCCAAGCCCTCCCATTCCAACTATGGGAAGGACCGAAATAACTGCGTCGTTTGTGTTTGTTATCAGCTTCAAAATTTTTGCTTCATCATCTTGTCTTCCGACAACATTTGAGTCAACAGTTATGCCATCAGTTTGCATGAACAGAGGAACAAGGGGAGCAAAATTCGCAACTCTCTGGAGGCCAAGGTCAGTAGCATTTTTGTTTATATCCTCGAAGTTGACATTTATCTCCTTGATCCTGCGAGCCATTCTCCATCGGAACACCAAACGGGGGGTAAAGCAAAAGATGTTTAAGCACGCCCATATCTTAGTCTGGTCTTGGATCTCCACCATATGACGCATATCTTCATAGTTGATCTCATCCAAGACATGATCAACATCGTAAGTAACATCTCGAAGCTTCTTGAGCCAGAGTTTGACAGCCTCATCGGTAACTTCACGTTTCTCAGCATCTTGTAAGACAAGATCCATCATTTTCAACAATCCGTCTAACTTTCTTAAGTCTTTCTTGAAACTCCACACCAGACTCAGGTCTGCGTTAGCGAGATCAAGCAACTTCTGCAGTGTAACTCGAGCGGAAGCACTAATGGCAACATTCATTTTCTTGCTTTGGAATAGTGTTGTGTGTGATTAATTGATTTTGGAGAGGGAGAGTGAAAAGAGAGAGATGCAGAATGCAGGAGTCTGTGGTTTGGTATTAGTACTGAGGGATCATATATCATTATGGATTTTCAATAATTAACAATGCTAATAGTTTTTGCAGATGGAGAAAAGCAATGTCATAATTAATAGTGAAAAAATATCACATGGTAACAGGGCCCTAATGTTCCAAGCGGCCACATGTTCAATTAAACGTGTACAATGTCCTGGGATGCATATGCATCAATAACCCAAACGATACTTAACCTTTTACTAATATAAATTTGCTTAAAGTGACGACTCTATAAAAAATGACTTCATTTTTTATACTAATCGTATCTTAATGTGCAAAACTGCGAAATTCACATTGCATTAGTCGCTGCAATAATAACTTTTTCTCTTTTTACTCTTCACACATTACATGAAAAGTGGCTCACCGGTGATGTGCACTTTCTTTTTTCTCTTCCTACTTTGTCTCTCTTTAACTTTGGAGAAAATGATTGTCCCAATTTACTTTGTCCCAATTTACTTTCTTTTATCCCTTTCTCTCTCTACTTTCTATCCATAACTTTGAAAAATATGGTTGTCCCCTCATGTGAAGCTTGTATTGCAAAAAGTGCAGTACAAGCAGACTTACCCTTATTCAATTGATGGGTCACGACACTAATGTTAGGAGTGTGACTCAAATAGGAGTCTAAATTGCATTTGATTTTTTACCTATTTTGGGACTCTTTTAGGGCTAGATTTTATACTATAAATACAAGGTTTCTCTTTCAGTATTAGTGAAGCCTTTTGCTGTATTGTGCTCTCCTTTTATAGTGAATTAATAAAACACCGTTCTTTCTGCCAGTTCTTCTTTTACTTACTTTAATTTTGTTTTTGGGTTATTTGTGATTTTGTTCAATACTTCAATTACAATAAGTGGAATTCATTAAATCTCAATTCCTGCATTATTGGTCAATCGGTCTCAACAAGTGGTATCAGAGCAGGGTTGTTGGTGGATTTTTGGCCTGAAACTGATCGGAAAATTGTCTGAAAATTACCAGAAAATCAGAAAACGAATCTGTCCAATTTTTCAATTTTCTGTCGGATCTATTTTTGCATTTTTTGTTCAAACCAAAAAAAGTTTGGAGAACGAACACCGCCAGTGGACTTAACAGGCAGAAACGGTCCAGAAAGGGTCACAGGTCGTTGGCGCGTTTTCCGACCAGTCGCCGGCGGTGGTAACTCCGGTGAGCGAGTGGCGGCGCGTGAGGCATTTTCCTCGACGGTGTCTTCAGGCAGTTTTCTCCGGACGACGAGACGGACCTTGTGGTGGTGTCCAATTTCAGTTTTGGGCAAAATTGTGCTTTTGGACTATTTTGCCCCTTGCACGTTCGGTAGTTTTCAGTTTTGGGTGTTGCAGATTGCAACTTCTTCCTGATTTGATTGAGATTTTTTAGAGATGATTTCGTTGAAGTATAAAATTCCGCTATTGGATCGCAATACAAGATTTTCGCTATGGCAAGTGAAGGTGAGAGCTGTGTTGACGCAGATGGATCTTGATGATGCTTTGCTGGGTTTTGATAGGATGCCAGCAAGCTTGTCTATGGAGGAGAAACAACGGAAGGATCGGAAGGCTTTAGCGTAAATCCAACTTCATTTATCCAACAATTTGCTGCAAGATATTTTGAAGGAGAAGACAGCGGCTGCTTTGTGGCTCAAGCTGGAGCAGTTGTGCATGACAAAGAGTTTGACGGGCAAACTGACTCTAAAGCAAAGGTTGTATTCTCATCGCTTGGCGGAAGGAGGGTCATTGCAGGACCACCTTGCTGTGTTCAAGGAGATCGTTGCAGATTTGGAGACGTTGAAGGTAAAATATGATGAAGAGGATCTAGCATTGTTCCTGTTGTGTTCGCTACCCAATTCTTTTTCGTCATTTCATGATACTATTCTGTATAGTCGGGACACGTTATCCATTGAGGAGGTATACGACGCCCTGTTCTCAAAAGAGAAGATGGAGTTGTTGGTTGGAGATCCTACATCTAGGAGTGGGGATGCTCTTGTTACTCATGGTGATCGACGGAGGGGTAGATCGAAGGTGAAGTACAGCAATGTGTATTGTTATCACTGCAAGAGGAAAGGACACATCAAGAAAGATTGCGACAAGTTGCAAGGTAAAGGTGATTTACATGCAAATCATGCGGGGCGATCAGGTAATTCGAACGAGACTAATATTGCTAAAAAATTTTGTGATGATGGAGATGTGATGTTGGCTGTATCTGACGGGGAATCCAAACATGAGGAGTGGATTCTAGATTCTACTTGTTCGTATCATATGTGTCCCAATAGAGTTTTGTTTCAAACATATGAGACGGTGAAGTAAGGTGGAGTTGTCACGGGAAACAACCAATCTTGCCAGGTTGCAGGAATCGGTCGAGTCAGATTGAGGCTACAGGATGGAACAGTGAGGACACTTGATCAGGTTTGTCATGTTCCAGACTTGACAAAGAATCTCATATCACTTAGTACCTTGGATGAAAGAGGGTACAAATTTTCTAGTGGAGGTGGAGTCTTGAAGGTTCGAAGGAGTGTCCGGGTTGTACAGGAGGGACGGAGGAAATCCCAGTTGTACATCTTGTAGGGGAGCGCAGAACCAGTTCAGAGACATTTGGACAAGTTCAGTACCATGGTGGACATTCAATTTGGTATAATACCTCTTGGGTTTAGCTCTGGATCAGTTAAGAACTTTGCTCAAGGGAGTATTGGTGATTCCGCTTTGTCACCAATTTTAGCGATTACACTGTGTTCTTATAATGCCAATTGACTCATGGAGCGTAGGTACATTTTTGGAGATGTCTGTAATGCTTTAGAAATCATTGAAGGCGACAATATTGGCAAGGGACCTTCTAATTGTGCATTTGGTGTGGTTTCTGCTACAGGGTGTGCTTCGACCCTGTCCAGTGATTGTTAATTCCAAGAGGAATTTTGAGAACCCAGGTTTGGGTTCGGGTGTCGCTTGTGGACGACGGGCGGGGGAACGTGTTATCGTGGAGAGTTTGGTTATTGCATTGAGGAGATTGGTCAGTTCATTTTGATGCAGACGGATTATTTCTTAAGGTGGAGAAATTTTGGAGCTTCGTTCGTTGCACCGGAATTTGAGTCAAGGTGGAGATTGTTAGAAGTGTGAATCAAATAGGAGTCTAAATTGTATTAGATTTCTTACCTTTTTTGGGACTCTTTTAGGGCTAGATTTTATACTATAAATACAAGGTTCCTCTTCAGTATTAGTGAAGCCTTTTGCTATATTGTGCTCTCATTTTATAGTGAATTAATAAAACATCGTTCCTTCTGTCAGTTCTTCTTTTACTTACTTTAATTTTATTTTTGGGTTATTTGTGATCTTGTTCAATACTTCAATTACAACAAGTGGAATTCATTAAATTTCAATTCCTGCATTATTGGTCAATCGGTCTCAACAACTAATGGTAGCGAGAGAACAAGATTCAGGTACCAAAAAATTGTGAATTCTAAACAGAGAAATTAGTGTTTAGAGACGAAAAAAAGCGAGAAGAGAGAGAGAGAGTAGGAAAAAAAATTACGATTAAGTTTGCGCCGCAAGTTATTCATTTTTTGGTTTCGTATGAGAAGTAGAAGGTTGAGAAAACTCTTGTATTGTAAGGTCTATTTCTCTTTTGGTTATTGGTGATTCGTCGAATGACGTTAAATTTTTTTTTCTCTTTCTTACTCATTTTTAAGCTTTTCACTCTCGCTACTTCTATGTGCGACCGAGGGAAATTTTTTCCCAATCTCTATGTGCCAGGAGATTTTGGAGATTTACCTGCACAAGAATAAACATCTAAGGTGAGGATGGGGTTTCTTAGCGGAGGTCCTCCACAACTCAAGTCAAAGTGTCCGATGAGGAATCTGAACAACATCATTCAACGAGACAATTATGTGAACAACTTTAGCATAATTGTGCTTGTTTGAGTGCGGTTATTTTAAAAATAATAATTAATTTTTGGAGCATCTGGATTACGTCCCACTGTTGTCCTTTTGATTGAAAACGTGTCATCAAATTACACGCCTAAAATAGTTGACTAATTCAAAAGTGATTATAGATGTTGTTGAATACACTGCTAACCTACTACATCTAATTGAATAGTCACTGCATTGGGTCTTTTATTTTATTATAGTATGGAAATTTTAACCAATTCTATTAGAAATTTGGATTATAATGGAATTTTGTTTATAAAAGTCATACGAAACATAGGCAAATGAAAACAGTGGGGGCCCATTTCAACGTCCCAAAAATCAATTACTTTCATAGACAAGCGCGTTTGGTAGCCATTTCCCATTATTTTTAGGGGTATGTTCAATAGTAATTTTAAGAATTGATTTTTTATCATTAGAGAGAAAAATGGGTCCTATCTGAGAGTGAAAAAGTAAAAAATGACGACTGAAATAGAAAAGTAACAGTCAAAAATTTTATTTTTTGGGATGAAAAATCAAAACCAAATAGGGCTTGATATTATCTTACGATTCACTGTTTTCACCCCTATACACTCCAACCAACCACCTTCAATCAATTCCAAAAAATGGGTTGTTGGAGGCATGGGGTATGAAGGGGAAAAACTTGAAAGTAGATTCTTGAAAATTCACATGCAATCAACCTTTGTTGTCTGAACCTGCAATCAATTGAAATTGGGCTGTTCTATGCAACGGGCAAAAAATCTCTAAACATGGACAAAAAAATTTAAATTGCAGTTTTGAGCATTGCCAATATCCCATCATCCGCCATTGAGCCCGCTACCAACTTTGGCATTGTTGCAACTACTTCTCAAGCGTCACAACTATTGCCCATAACAAACATGCACAATCACGAGTATTTATTTGTTCTAGTTGTTATTTTGGTGCACAATTTTCTCATTTTGATCAAGTTACTCGGATGGAATATAAGGAAAATTTGGAAAACTCAATTTATGAATTCAAATTGGTAAGAGCGCAAGTGAAATTTATCTCAAAGTCGCAAAAACTACTATGATTCATCCCAATTATTAGTGATGGGAAAAAGTTACTTTAATTTACTTTTTATCGATAATGGAATT